AAATAAAATTGTCTGTGTGGCTTATATCATGGTCGTAATATTTTGCAGAATCACATTTTATGTGTTTATGTCTTGATATTGACCAAATGTTTCAAAATTCATTGTCAGTGCTGAAAATTTATAGTACATGTAACGTAGATTGTAGTTTTCAGCGCTGGCAGTGAATTTTGGAACACAGCCTGTTGCATTTCAAGCGAATTGATCGAATTCAATCAGAATTGTCAGAAAAGAAGTGTTAGAGAAAGAGCAGATAATTAAAGAGAGAAGCTTGCAAACTATACACATCACTCGTTCACTTGACTACATTCAAACTCAACGGTTGAATAAGCGCTCGGTGTTATTGGTGTATTCTTTTGAATCATCCAATCCGACTTTTAGATCTAGAAGAATACATCAATAGCAGCACTGTCAATCATCAAACTGTTGGTCGAGTCTGCAGAACTATGAACTATCATGAACATAACCTATGTGCATTATTCGGATTGTCCGTTATCGCGTTGTTCATTGATAAATTGATGTTAGTGAAAACGAGATGATAGTGGAATTACCGTGAGTATTGACAAAATATCAAAATGATTAAACGTTGCCCACTAAAGATTCGCAGACGGTACAAGTTCTTGGATTCTCGAAATGAGATTGCAAGCTAGGTTATTGTTTCATTTCCCATCTCGTTTTCAGAGAAGCTACTTCCTACTTCTGGAAACAAAGTAGAAGGACAACGTACGGCAGCTGGCCCTTCAACGAATCCAACAAATGCAATGCCGAACGCATGGCCGCCGCTGGATTTTATGTTGTTGGGGACAGCAATGAGCCGGACTTAGTTGAATGTTTCATTTGTAGCAAGCAACTCGATGGTTGGGAACCAGACGATGATCCGTGGTACGTCAAGTAACTAATTCGTACATACATTTGTTAAGTTATTTATTTTCACTTACTTATAATTACAATTCATTGTTTGAATTCTAAGAGTCTATTAATTATTATATTTTATGGTACTTATTTAAAAAAAGAGAATACTCTCCTTACCTTAAATCTTAATAAAAATGTACCCATTCGACAATTTTTTTACTTAAAAGAATCCGGTAGAAAAACTCAGTGATCTGCCTCGTGAAACAAGTAATTAAGTGTTAAATTTTAAAACTTTAGAGATTAAGATATCTGTTGTATCGACTAAGGATGGGTTTAGAGTTTAGACTGTTCTTGATAGAAAAGCAGAGAAGCAGCAGTCAATCAAAACTTGCGCTGATAGTAAGCAGTAAATAAAGCTGAACTACCAGCACGAGTTCTGGAGCAGCTTCAAGCATGTACTGCAGTCACATTTTCGTGTTCTACGCTGATAAATGCATGTATTTTAAGTACATACATGTCGCATTGTAATAGAAGAAAATTTAAACTCAACACGTACAACTTGTACCGTAAGAGTTAGCCAATCAGAGCTGTAAGTTTTTGAAAATTCTTGACTGTGATTGGCCAATTTTTACATTTACTATTATGGAAAGTGTGCACAGGCGTCTTTAGGTCTGCTGGCTACCGCATACATTCCGTAACAGTAACTTTAAGAATGATATATTAAGTTAATACATTTTGAATCATTATAACTTTATTATTTATATTACATATATTATATTATTTGTTTCTTTTTACCCTTCTTTTGTCTTTTAATTCTCTACATTTACCTATTATTTTTGTTAGTAAAACAAATAAATTGAAAACTTACAGGAGTGAACATGAGAAACATCAGTCAAGCTGTCCATTTGTTAAATTAAATAAGCAAGAAGAAAAAGAATGGACAGTGGATGAATTATATGATTTATATAAAAAGTACAAGACAAAAGAATATGTAAGTTTTGTGTATACTTTAAGTTATATTGTAATTGTATATACTTCAAATTATATTTGGGTCAATTTATTTATGTTTAATAATAATATTTTGTAGATGGATCAAGTAAAAAAGAATATCAACACAATGAAAGATATAACGGCGCAGTTGATGAGCGAACTCTCTAAATAGAATATCAAGGAACAAAGGGAATACCGATTGAATATTATTATGGATTTTGAACGATGGAATATCTATCTTAGTTTAAGAACTTCTGAATGTCTAAATATATTTTGTACTGGTTAAGAAATACTACATGTGGTATACACACAATCAAGTTTCTTATTTCAGACTCGGCTCATTCAATTATAAATTTAAGCATTACTTGCAAAATCATATTTAAAGCAAAAAATTTATGACAAATAGCAAACAAATTTATCTCTAATGAGTCAAAATTTATGATTCTTTATAAATAAATGAGATACCCTTGGGTGTGTTTTAAAATATGGAGTAAAAGCGGGAGCAGTCTTTTATGAAAGTCGGACAGCCTTTTTCATAACGCATGATATATAGAAGAATCGATCACTCAAAGTGTATTTCATAGGAAGCAAAGACCAATTGAACAAATCATTTGTTGTTCGTATTGCTTGAAATTTCTAAAAATGCATTTAAAACGGGATCAATATATATATTCAAGCGTTGAAAAGAGAGAGAGAATGAAGATGTTAAGTGCAAAAAGTGCAAGCAATGCGAACAAACTGATAGTCAATTATTTTCCTCGCATTTGACTACATAACTCTGCAAACAATAGAGTAGTAATTAGTAAGCCCTAAGCTTTAAGCAATAGACCAATCAATCGATTATCCTGTATCTACAATAGATTTTTAAGCCGTAAGGAATAAACGAATCACAATCGTGTTCTCCTCGCATTCAATTGTAGTTGGTCAATTTTTTACGACTTAAGGCTTAAAACACCTATTGTAGATCCGGACTTAAGCTTATTTCTCTATTGTATTCGCAGAATAAAACTTTTACATGCACAATGGCTTTCATGTACCACTCAAATTGCAATGATCGTAGCAGACTTGACTAGGGGCTATACTCAGATTCCCAAATTCCCACCCAAGTGCCACTCAGGTATCCCTCCATCCTTGTTGTTTACCAAACGTTAAACAAGGATATGCCTATCTATCATGCCTATTATCTTTTTCTTCGTATCAAGGTTATGGATTGATAAACCTTGTTTTGATATAAATAAGATAATCATGGAAGGCATAGATTAGATAGTAATAAGATTGCTTAGGTAACTGTTATTTCTATCTCTAGGTTTATTGGAAATTGATACGTTTTGGCGAAAAGCGACAAGCGAGTACGTGTAAAGTTTTCATTGTATTTGCAGTCTTTGATATCAAGTTTTACTTCAATATATGTGCCATCTAATAAAATGAAGCTTTTTATTTTGACATTGTGGATTTCATGCTTTATTAGTATACACTGCCAAATTGTAACACTAAATGGGGCATGGACAGGGACCATTAATATCTGTGGTAAATATGATTTACTAGATATCTTGATCTTTTTCAATAAAAATATGTATTTATATAGGAAACTGTATATTGTGTGTTGCGCGCGCGCGCGCGCGTGTGTGTGTGTGTATGTATGTACAGACGTCACTATTCGTTAATGATGTCACTTCTCGTTTACGCACCTTGCGTGCTTGTGTTCCAAATTTACCATCAGAGCTGAAAATGCTACAGTTTTTTACGTGCACTATAGATTTTCAATACAGACAGTCAATTTTTGGAACATTATCTCGTGTAGATTGTAGGTAAAAACTCAGTTGAATCTCACTTGTCAGAATGTAAATAAAACGCGCATTCAACTGAGTTGTGACGTCACAAATGTGAATTATCTGAGAATCAGCGTAAATGGAAAGCATCTAATGTCTCATTAAAAATGTTTTGAAGCAATTGGTTAACTAATCAGAAGAAAGAAGTTTATTAACTAACTAATCAAAGAAAACATTTTGTGGCATCGCGTTATGCCTCTGTCAAGATCCATATTCTGTATGTACACACATGTCTACCGACATTTGTCGATGTCGATAATTAACGATAGCCAATGGCAAGGATTATTCTAGGAAAAAAAGCGTAATTTTCATTGTTGCTACTTAACGACAACTGTCGGTATCACTAAGTAGCGACAACCAATGGCTAAGTTTCAGCAGACTCAATAGTTGAGTAAATGCTCACCGCTATTGATATATTCTTCTAGATCTAAAATTCTGATTGGATGATTTAAAAGAATACACTAATAACAGCGAACGATCATTTTGTCTTCTTGAATCTGCTGAATGCTTCCAATGAGAACAGTTTTTTTTTAATTACTATTTCTTTTTCAAAAAATTATTAAAAAATTATCTTTTTTGGCTTCCTAAATCAGATTCTTTTCTTTTATTCCTAAACTATTAATTTTTTTATAATCGTACCTTAATATTTTTATGAATAGAATAATGAGATGAATCAATTGGTGTAAAGAAGATACGTACTTGCTTATTTAAAAAATTATCCATTTTGCATGTACATTTTTTTTTTTAACAATTATGTACTACTTTTACACCGATAAAAAGTATGATGTTGAGAAAAATTTTTTGCTCGTCATAATACGCGAGTATGTGCCCCTTCAAATCGAATTACTTTCTCATATGATATTTTCTCGTATCATCAAAAACGGAGATATTTTAAATAATCAAGTTACAGGAAACACTCTGTATATGTACAAAATTATTTATTAATCATGATTGCAATAAAAAATTGTTTTTCAGATAAGAAGTCCTATGAAAAATGTAACAATGGTAAGAGATTAAAACATAATTTTTAAAAAATTATATATAATTTTCTTTAAATCTAGTAGACAATTTTTCTTAAAAATGTTCACATAAATGATGCAACAATTATTCTGTTCTACAGATATCAATTTTAGCGCGACTGTTCCTGGAGGAATTTATACAGACTTATATAAGAATAACATAATAGAGAACAATTTGCTTGGAAGAAATGATATTAATAATCGTTGGGTCGGAAATCAATCTGTCACTTACATAAAAAATTTTAGAGGTAATTGGCTATGAGTGTATATATACACAATCTATATAATAATATATATTACTATGTAAGTGTATATATGAGACACAACATTAGATAACAGTTTAAAATTAAAAGTAATCTAAACATAATTTATGTTATATTTTCAGTGAGTGATAATTTTCTAAAAGCTCGTAAGATAGTGTTAGTTTTTCACGGAATCGATACGTTTGCCAATGTTTCTTTGAACAATCACATCCTCGGAGAGACTTCAAATATGTTTTTAAGATATATTTTTGACGTAACAGATTTTATCAAGGTAATCAAAGAGATTAAAAAAATCATTCAAAATATACGTATTGGTAATACAATTTGTTTATTTGGTCTCTGTAGAAAGAACAGAATGTATTAAAAGTTAGCTTTCGTTCGGCTGTTAAAGTAGCCGAAGATTTATACAATGAGCAAAAGAATCATTACGTTATACCACCAGTATGTATACCTAAGGAATACAATGGAGAATGCCATGTAAATCACATTCGTAAGATGCAAGCCAGTTTCTCATGGGATTGGGGTCCTGCTTTTCCCTCGATTGGGATTTGGTAATAAGCAATTGATTATTTTACAATATATTTTATTATATTTTTTTACTAACTACATTTTTATTAGTATATAACACAAGATATTTACAGGAGAGATGTTGAATTGATTTCCATAAATGATATATTGATTAATGACATTGCGACTGACATACGCAAAGAAAATAATACCTGGAACATCCTTGTTACAATATTTCTTGAGACAACACAGAGTAAGGACGAAGAATTCATAGGAATTAATTGTCACATAGCATCGATATTGCATATTGCACAAAACAAAGTTGTTAGCAATACCAGTGAAGTTGTACTTGATGCAAGTGAAAAGTACATAAATGTTAACATTTCGCTCACCGTGCCTGCAGTAAGTTCTAAAATTCACCGGAAAAAAATTAAAAATTAAAAAAAAGGCGTCAAATATATTTTGCAATATCTTTAGGCAAAACCATTTTATAAATATTTTAAAACATATAATGAAAGGAATAAAAAATATTACAAAAAAAAAAGAAACAAAACTAAAATGCAATATTTTTACGCAAATATATCAAAACAAAGATGTTTAAAAACATAATGAAAAAACCAAAAATAATGCCATGAAAAAGAAGTGAAATCAAAATAATATATTTCAAGTATATTTATTAAAATAAGTTCCACAGAACAACAGTTCTTCAAGCAGGACTTCTTGAGGGCGTCCTTATGATGTAGATATCCTTTGAGAACCGTGTTGTATGGGATAATTTCTTACAATCATATTAGACTTAACATAAAATATGGGAAACATTTAAAGTAGAATAACATATTAAAAAAACAACGCGAAATGCAATAGATGGCATAATGAGAACCGCAGAAATTGAAAAAGAGATTTTTACATTAATAACAAATAGAAAATTGTAAAGACAAAAATTCGAAAATTTTCAGCAGCAGCATACTTGACACGCTCGTTTTTTTTTTGTTTATAACTCGATGCAAACAATTCAATAAATATCTTATTAATATAAGCATTTACGCCGAAAATGTACTTAATTAAATGTACTTTATTATACGATTATCTTGTCGTACATTAATAATCACACGAAATAAAATATGAATATGTTACACGTGTAATCGTATATTAAAATTCACGGATATACATGCTTTTCAAACCGTGTATTTCGATACACATTTATACCCGTACATTAAAAATTATACGGATTGAAACACGAATATATTAATTACACATATACACGTAACAGATGTATCTATCGTGTCTATAATAAAGACGTCCTCAAGATGCCGTTCGAAGAACTATGTTCTTATTTTAATAAGTATACTTGAAATCTATTGTTTTGATTTCATTTCTTTTTCAAATTTTTGGTTTTTTTAAGTTTTTATTTTGATATCTGCAAATGCATACAAACAAAAATAAAAAATTGTAATTTTATTAATTCTAATGGTCTAATGTACTGGCCAGGATGCCGTTGAGAACTGGTGGCCGAATGGTTATGGCAAGCAACACTTGTACTATTTAACTACTACTGTGACAACGGCGAATGATGTATTATTCAAACGGATTCGTATAGGCTTCAGAACGGTGCAGCTCGTGGAAAAATCTTTGGAAAAAGGGCTGAGCTTCTATTTTCGCATAAACGATATACCAATATTCGCTAAAGGCAGCAACTTTATTCCAGCCAGTATTTTCCCTGAGCTAAGCGCAAAAGAAGATACCATCAGAGACTTGTTGTTATCTGCCAAAGAGACGCATATGAATATGCTAAGAGTATGGGGCGGTGGTGTTTATGAGTCGAAATTATTTTACGACTTGGCTGACGAATATGGGATCATGATATGGCAAGATTTCATGTTTGCATGCGCTATGTACTCTACGAGTCATTCATTCTTAAAGAGCGTAAAAGAAGAAATATTACAAAACGTAATACGTTTGAAAAATCATCCAAGTATCGTTCTTTGGGCTGGGAATAACGAAAACGAAGCAGCGCTTTATGGTAATTGGTATGGTACCGGTTCTGCTCATGTGTATAGAGAGGATTATGTGAAACTTTATGTGAATCTATTGAAGACAGAAGTGAAGAAACTAGATCTGACAAGACCATTTGTCGTGTCTAGTCCGGGCAACGGGGCGTATGAAGAAACATACAATTATACTGGAGTAAATCCTTATTTAAATCTCTACGGTGACGGTAATATATATATACGCATATATATATATGTGTGTGTGTGTGTGTGTGTGTGTGTGTGTGTGTGTGTGCATGTACACATAGATAAGTTTTTCTTTAAAATGAAATTAATTGAATATTGAATATATTAACATAACAAGTTGAATGTGTTTTCAGTCCATTATTACAATTACATTAGAAATAGTTGGGACATCACTCAGTATCCTCGGACAAGATTTTGCTCCGAATATGGATTTCAATCTTGGCCATCGATTTATACGATAGCAACTGCTATAGAAAGCACAAAAGATCTTCATATTGATAGCGACTTCGTGAAGCATAGACAACATCTGCCACTCGGCAATCAATATATGCTGCAGCTAATCTCGAATAACTTTGCTGTACCGCAAAGTAACGACAGCATCCGAGATTTCGCAAGTTATATATATCTTAGTCAGATCAATCAAGCTGTCTCTGTAAGAATACAAACGGAAATGTACAGGCAAGCCAAATCTGAAGTGAATTCCATAGGTGAGGGTATGACAATGGGAGCTCTCTATTGGCAATTGAACGATGTCTGGCAAGCTCCTTCATGGTCTTCCATAGGTAATCAAAGACATGGAATTAGAACTAATAATCTTGATTGTTATAGTCTGTAGGTATAAAAGTTTTTTCAAAGCTCTTAAAATGATAAATGTGATATATGAAGAATACGAATCTTGCTTCTATAACATTTTTTTCTTTTTATTTAATATAAAAGTACTATATTGATCGTTCTAATTTAAGATATTCTTCTATTTTTTGTATATCACAAAAATCTCCGCATTATATTTACAGATTATGAAGGTCGTTGGAAAATGCTTCACTATTATGCCAAGGATTTTTTCGCGCCTATTATTGTTACATCGTATTTGTCTGTTTCCAGTGAACTCTCGATATATATAGTGTCTGATCGATTGTATACTTTAACAAATTGTACAGTAAAACTTCATGTTTACAAATGGGAATCCATGAAACCTATATCCGTATTATTCTTCAATAATATCGTAATAGTCAGTATATATATGTGTGTGTGTGTGTGTGTGTGTGTGTGTGTGTGTGTAAAACTATATATATATATATATATATATATATAGTTACATAGAGTATTAAAGTTGATATCTATAATTTGTATATAAATATCTGTACAGCTATATTGATTTTCTTTCAGGAATCTAATAAAGCCACGAAAGTTACATCCTTTTGGTTAGACAGATTCCTGTTTCAAGTAGGTTGTGGAACATTGAAATCTGCCAAAAGATCTTGCATCGCCACTTTATCTTTTACGGATAAATCTGGATCCCTAATTGCGCCAATTAATTATATATATCCTGATGCGTTAAAAAACGCAGATATACCAGTAGCCAACGTTACTGTAAGTGGATTAATTGATGTCGCGTACAAAATTCGATATATTATAGATATTGAACAATAAATACTGTCTGAAAAATATTAACACGCAATTGTTTTTGTTTTAGATGAAGATCGAAAAAAACCATTTACCTGGAAAACTTTCCAATTATGCAGATTTTAAAATTGTATTATCGACAGATAAAATAGCACTTTTCGTATGGTTAGAAATAGGTAATATACGAGGTCGTTTTTCGGAAAATGGCTTTCATATGTTTGCAAAAAGGAAGAAAATCATTTTTCATGCATATGAAGCAACAACGGTTGAATTATTGCAGAACAATATAAAACTCACACATATATCAGACATTTACAATGCATATGGTAATTTTTATAGTGATTTTGTTAAAAGAACAAATTTAAATTAGTCATGCGTAAAGTTATCTTGTATCATGCATTATATAATACATGAGGTATCTGGTTGAGAATTACTGAAACAATTGTACGTAATTTTATAATAATATATATTAACTTTTTATTTCAATAAATAAAATTCTTTTTTTTTTTAATTATACTTTGTGTCATTAAATTGTTCTTAATAGAAAGTATAATGTAAATAACTTATTTTAATTATTCGTGTAATATAAATATATCTGTAATCCTAATAAGCGTAAGCTGAGACTCCTGGGTTAGTTTTCTTATCACATAAAAATATATATAAAGCACAATTTTCTATGTTTACGCTGTATGTTTAGTCATCATACAATTCTCACTTTCATAAAATATTTATATCAAACTCTTAGATCCGTATTCACATCTCACTTCTATCGACAAACATGCACATCTAACATATCTCTATTGAAAAAAATCACATCACAAAGTTACATAACGATATCGTGTAATTAAAATAAATAAATCACACAACGAATTGTTCCAAATCAATATGTGATTTTTTTAAATGACATAATTTAAAAAATCACATGATATTAAATAATTAAATGATAGAAATAGAAGAAAAAAACATATCATTGTGTGACTTTTCAAATTACGTGATTTTAAAAAACTGATTTAGAATAACCCATTATGTGATTTACATATTTTAATTACATGATTTCATTATATGTAACTTTGTGACGTAATTTTTTTCAGTACGGATAGTTTGTTACATATATTATAGACTATCAGAAATAAATATGTGCATTGTTGATACAAAAATACAATATGAATACGAATTTCAATCTTTAATAAAAATTAGAAGCAAGTCCGTAGCTCGCGATATTGTTAAGCAGAGATATTAACTTTTGTTAAAATCGTAATGTTATTTTGACTTATATTGTGATGTTCTTTCATGGTTAGAATATGCCGGTAGTACGACTTCCTCCTCCTCCTCGTCAGGTGAGTGTAGGTAACGTCGACTTAAATTGATGACAACCATGATACAACACAAGAGCAAAGGGCCAAAAATTGCTCCTTCTACACCTAAACAAAAGATTCCACCCGCTATCGATAAGCCTGTTAGATAAGGATGCCCACCACTGAAATAAACGGAATGTATGTAAAAACAATGCGTAATTGAAGATATATTCATGCATTACAAAGCACAATTTTACCCTTTAATCTCTTTATAAAATTCCGTCACTACTATGTTACACGGGAGGAAATGGAAGAGAAAAAATAAGATAGCGATCATTGATCCACGAGTGAACCAAAGTTCTATAGTAGCTGGAATGCAGGCAAAGTACGCATCCAAGAAAGGAACTGCCCCTAACATTGTTGCAAGAGCCGATGGTAAATAGACAATCTTTACTTGGAACAAATTATGTATGAACCATGTCCACATGCCGAAGAAGGAGGCGAGTTTAAAAGTGGCCGCGAATACCCCAATCACTGCTTCTTGTAATGATGTAGCAAATCTAGACAGAATCGTTATTTCGAAAGTTTTCTTTGTGCAGTATCATACATTTCATGCTAGTAACGTCCCAGTAGAGTAGAGTATTAACACAATCACATTATATGAAGGTCGTATCGATACGTAGAACGTATCTTTCTACATGTAATGTGCTTGTTAAAAACAGAACTGAACCAAATACATATATTTTTTATTTATATTAGAATACAAAATACAAAATACTGTCAATCTTAGCAATAATAACTACTCTAAGTAGTAAAGACTGCATCATTGATGTAGTTTAGAATAGTGACTAAGATTAAGTACAGTATTTTGTATTTTACATGTATTTTGCCCATCATTTTGTACATGTCTACCGATAGTTGGCAGCTTTTCGATAGACGTGTACAAAATAGCACCCCAGGGCTAATTAAAAATAAATATTTTTATAAAATTTAAAATATTACATTACAAAGAGAAATCATGAATCAATTTTCAGATTATGAATAATTACCTGTGACAACTAATAGGACTAAACATTGTTGTCAGTTCGATGGGTTTATAAGTTTTATCGCTGGAGCTGAGCAAATAAAATAAAGTTGTAAAGAATACAACCTGAAATAACAAATTATTATATCTCATGTCCTTTTCTTTTCTATAAAATTTTGTAGGAACATGTTGCATACCGTGCTGAGTACAAAATTAAGTACGGCTGATCCACTCATGAGTACAATATAAAACAACTCCGTAAAAATTGTTAATATTACAGACATATTGCCTTTAACAATGCTCCAAACAGAATCAAACACTGATGTAAGAATGCCAATATTTTCTTTGGCAAAATTCTGTATACTAGTCATATTGAACAAATCTGAAAGAAAAAAGCGATAGCGTTCTCTGTATTATATGCAAAGCAATTTTTATTATATTAATAGAAGCAACATAATGGAATGGAGATAATCTATCTGGAAAAAAATAAATAAAAATGTAATGTAATAATACTAAATTTCTTTAGACAAAATATTTACGTATAGGTGTTTTTTCAACGCTATCTTTGAAGCTTTCCCAAGCGGAATACGCAGACATGGAATCTACGGTAGGACCCACAAGATTCGGATCCATATTTGACATCATCCATGCTTGATAGAGACGATCCCAGAGCTCCAAGACTTTCTTCTCCATTTGTTCTGCTTTCGTCGGTTCGAGATCTTTTACGAGACCCCGAATCTGAATTAAGCAAGCTAGATAAGCAAACTTAGCGTTCCCACACATGCAAAGTGGAAAAATAAATAAGGTAAATCTTACGCCATCCGATATAGCACTTCGTCCATATGTGTAAACATTATCTAAAACACTGTTAACGGACTCTTCCCACTTTTCTGGAACCCAATCGATATCAGGATTGCTGATCAAAGTGGAATTTAATATTTCACCTGTTACTTGAACAAGATGCAAGCCTTCTGCATAGATCTGGATAGAGAAATTAGATAGAATCTTTTCGATAAACGAGAATGGATTAAAATGGATGGAATTTTTTTCTATCTAAATGGGTATTTTAAATAAAAATTTTTTTTATTCAATTCGATTAAATCGAATTCAATTGGATTCAATTGGATTGAAAAACTTTTCTATTCAGAATTTTGTATTAAGAAGTATTCACGAGACACAGACAAGCTGATATCATTTTTAGATTGAAAGAAGCATAGAAATGTGCTTCATCTAATTCGTATAAATGAATAAAAATACATTCGGATTGAAAAGGATTTATTTATTAACGTTCGCGAATGAATATTTCTGAAAATATGAATCTATTTCAATCCATTTTAATCCATTTCTCGTCTATTAGGCTGTTGTACAGTAATAGATGAAATGACTGCAATTTTTTTTTCAATGGATTTTGGAATGCGGTCTGTTCATCGAGCGATTGGTTCTCATTTATAGATCTAGTCATTTACGTTCAATCGCTCTACGAGCAAGACTGAATTCCAAAACTCATCGATAAAAAAGTGCTGCAACCGTTTTATCCACGATTGTACATACAATTGTATGATAATGTATAAAAGAATACGCGAATGTTTATCGCAAACCTGTATCGTAATAAAGATAGATGCGCAAGTAGCAAAAACAATCAAGCCAAGTATTACAGATGTGGTCGCTACCGCATTGACGGAGTTTTTTAGAATATTTCTTAGTTTCTCATCCACGATAAAGCTTATTTTATAGAGACCTCTGATATTGGAGGGTATGAGTGCTTGATGTCGATCCATGCACCATGACTTGAGTATTTCTATCATCGAGTTGCAATGCCAGAGTATTATTTTCCAAAAACCGAAATAGCTACCCAACTGCTTAACGATATAATATATCAACGGGATCACCAGAATGTGTGCGATCCATCTGTGTTTCCAGAGAAGCATACCAGCACATGCATATAGTGCCCCATACATGTATTTGTCAGTATCAACCTCATCATCTTGCATATCTAGAGACGTTCGTAATTCGGCTCTTATTTTGCCCAACAGATAACGGTCGCGTAATGTCGCACGAGTTGTATAACGTACGTTATACGCAGGTCTACGTGTTGTCACACCCATTACGGCGGATAAACCAGCATCCGTATCCAAAGATAATGACTTTACTCCAAGTCTCGACGTGCTATGTATTTTCTCAATACCCGTTGCATCAGCAGATGCTGATCTTCCTGCTTCTTCTTGAGAGCAAATCGGCGTATCCACGCTTTCGCCTTCCGGAATACAATTCTTTGTCTGCTCCTCCTTGAGTGAAGTTGATTTATCTTCTTGCTGGCTCGGCAATAATTCGTTTGTTAAAGCAAAATGGACTGCTTGCGAGAATGTCAAATGTCTACCATTCAGCTCATGACCATCCATAACGAGTATCACTTCATAAATAAATCCTATTATGCATAGAATTTGTAGAGCAGCGAATACCAAGATCTGGTAAGAACCTGCTATACTTGATAAATACATGCTGATGATGAACCATATCATGAAGGACATGTAACGAAAATGAGCTGAATTTGATGGTGTCCAATAGATATACAGAATCATCAAGTAACCGACAAGTATAGTAGAGACCTGTAAGACAAGTCAATTAAATTTTTAGAGAAGCAAGTATCATGGTATTTCTATACATGTATATACCAAATATATATATCAGGGAACGGAAAAGTTACTTTTCTGCTACTTTTACAGTTACTTTTTATAATAAAAGTAAAGTTACTCCATTACAAGTCACATTAAAAAGTAACGAATTAGAAATTGCAAACTGTTTTTTTTTTTCAGTAATAAATGACTTTCCAATCAGTCACAACAAGTAACTATTGACTATTCCAATTCTGGTGTTATATTATCATTATAAAAAATTTGCAATATCATTATTAAATCATTATTACAAAATAAATAACGGCAGTTACAGTAACTAGTTCCTTCTATTCCCTTATATATATATA